GGACGGGGCCTCCGTCGGGAGTCTTCGCCGGCGCAGGAGAAGGCGGAAGCAGGATTATCGGCACAAGCTCCGTCCCGCCGGGTAGAGGACGCGAGGCGAGGGGCGGCACTGTCCCCCCCGCGGCTTTTGCACCGGGACCGGGAGGGGAAGCTTGCCACCAAGCGCCCTCCCAAGAACAACCAGCGGGTGGTGACCATCCACTACACTCAAGAGGCTACCGCCCCACCCACGGCGCTACCGGATCCTGCGCCGGCCCCTCCTTCGCCCCTGGTCATCCGGGTATCTTTGGCCGATGTCTTGGCGACTGCGGCCAAGGCCAAAGCGCGCAGGGCGGCTGTCGAGGCCCCTCATGCAGCGCCTTCAGCTCCTGCAGCTGCCGAGGCGACTGCTGGTGTCGGTGTAGATGCCACGGAGACGGCAACGCCGGATGTGGATATGGGCCACGGGCAGGGTTCGAATCCCCCCGCAGTGACAGTGAGCGTCAGTGAGCTTTTAGCGGCCTCCGGGAAAATCACGCCGTCCTCCCTGTGAGGACTGGTAGGTATCCATGCCTCGCGCGGAGTCTGGCAGTCCTGTATACGTCTTTTCATGCACCGTCATGAAGGTCCAGGGGGCCAAGGGCGGGCGGGGGAGGGACGGGGGCTTCTGAGGGGTGTGCTAAATAGGGACGACATCGATCTGTTTGGATCGCCCGGGTACCGGCATCTTTTGGAAACAGCGCGCGGACTCGATGAGCTGCGGTAGGCACCGACCCTCCTCTTCATGCCGGTCAGGCGTCTCGCATGTTCGATTTTCGTCGCCATGGCCGGGGCGGGGAGAAGGGTGTGTGTGTGGCCTGGAAGAAGCGCAGGAGGATACCCGGACCTTGGAGTGGCGGGAGATTGCCTGGCTGGCAGGGATTGAGGGCTGTGGTGAGCCTGCGAGGGGAAATAGAAAGAGGTGGGGGATGCTTAGGAGGGTGGCTGAGCCTTGACGCGGTTCGATTTGAGAATGATGGGGAGAAAAGGGAGGGAGGAGGGCCTTTGCGGTTCGGAAGATGGGTGTTCTTGGAGGGTGGAAGGGGGGGG